CCCCTGCCCCTTCCTTCTCCTACTCCACTGGTTCCTTTTCCTATGAGTGAAGCCGACAGGCTAAGGCTTCTTCAGACCCTCAGACAGAAACCTTAAGTGCCCTGGATGTGTCAGAGCTCCTGACCCCAGAGCCTGGACACCCAGTCCTGTCTGACTCCCACTGAAGCGCTGCTGCAAGGGGAGGGGGAGATGTGCTTAAGTGCAGGGCCCCTGTGTGCTCGCCTTCAGGAACAGGAAGCAGCAGGCACGATGCCTACCATCATGGGTCAGAGACTGGAAGGATGATGAAATCCGCTGTTGGAAAGCCTCACCTTTCAGATGTACTGTCTTCATTGACATCCCAGGAACATCCATTTTGAGGAAATGATCTTTGGGAAAAAAACAAAAAGTTAAGTTATAAATAACTGTTTGGCTGCACTGTATGTCATTTTCACTTATGGTCATATGAATTGAGAAATTAAGGTTACTCGTATGCATAGGAATTCTAGATGAAAAAACAAAGGGAAGTGCTGTTTTTATTGTGAGAGGAACTAAAGAAGGAGGAAACGGCCTGGGTAGCATGCAGTGAACAGAAGAATCTCCATAGTGGGATTTGCCTTTTGTGGATCTCGCTCGGCCCCATGGATTATCACGTGAATACACAGATCACTGAATACAGAGAAAGCAAACCTGGGGACAAAATGATACTGGGTTCCATCATTCTGGGACCAGTAACACATTCACAGTCCCCTTCAAAGCACCCCTGGAGACCCTGCCCCATGTGAACTGCACAGCCCAGGTGACCCCAGCAGCTCCACCTGCCAGAAACTACCGAGCAGCGCTCCTTCCCCCAGGCAGCATTTCAGGTGGGTGATGTGCTCCACTCCTGGTTCAGGGTTGACAGTGAAAGGAAGACAGGTCACCACTTCAGGATCTGACAAATGCCAGATTGAGCAGGGCCACTGTAAACTCCTCAGCTGTCATCAGCAGATTCAAGTGCTTTTCCTAGAACTTTGTTTCCAAAAGTCACAGGCAATGCTTGTCTCTGACTTTCTGCTTCTGCCCAGTATCTCTTTCTAGAACTGCAGAGTGTGTTACTTCTTGAGATCAGAAAACCCTACTGTGCTGATTGCATCCATAGTGCTTTTGTCACTCAGGTCTGGACAGAGACTCCCAAGCTGAGGTTCATCAAAAACGCGAGCCTGAGTAAGTAACATGAACGCATTATCTGCTCTAAGATGTTTGGGGAGAGGGCCAGGGATTTAGCTCAGTGGTTCC